CAGTCCAATACCAGAACTTATATTTTTCAATAAAGTTTATTGCTAAAAGCTCTTTTAATTACCATGGAAGCGATTATTGACGATGTACTTGAAGTATAGGCGTTGAGCTGATAGCTGAGGCTCTGAAAGAAGAAATAGAACAGAAAAAAGGTGATTTAAAAGCAAAATAATTTCTTTCGTTATTTGCTTTCAAAATTTCATTAGTACTCGGAAATATCTGTCAAAGAAATATCTATCAAAATCTGTCAAAATGAGTTTAAAAAGCTAAGCGTTCAAGCTATATAATTTTGAATTTTCAAATATTTAAACACTTGTAATTAGTAATATGCTAGTTTTTTCTTTTCCATTCACTTTTAAAATTCAATAATAATTTGTAACTCTCAGTATCTCCACAGAGGAAATTAGTTTATAGGGAATTAGTTTATTCGCATAATCTTTGTTATTTATGTCCCTAAGACAAGGATACGTTTGAAAAATTTCAAAAAAAAAAAAATAATACATATATCACTAGAATTCCATTTAAAACTAGTCATAGTTAGAAGATTAAACCAAGTTCAAATTTAAAAGATAAAATTTCAGGATGCGTCAGAATCAGCACGCGTATTTTGTTTACTAAATGGTTGCTAGTTAAGGTTGAAAGTATTTGGAAACTACTATATGACACGTTTCAACTAATCTGGTTGCTCCACTAAAGTTGAAAGGTTTTAACTTCAGTTGCTAGTTGAAAGCAGGTTGAAAGCAACTGGGCAACCGTCATGTAACACGTTTCAACTTCACCGAAACCGCTAGTTGCTTTCAACTAGGTTGCCTTGTGTCATATAGCCTTTATGGATGGTGTTTTCTACACTAGGAAGTGCTGTAAGCTCCATACCGCCTGTACTTCCGGGGTACTGTTTCCGGTGTGTTTTTAAGCCATTTGGCTCACAACGTGAACATTGTGTTTTGAGATTCTTGCAAACGTGATATTTGATTACTTATTACTTGTGTTTACAATGCTAACAATACTTGTGTTTGCAATGCTAACGGTGCTAACATGTACGTGAGATGATGCACAGCGTGCAACGCGAACAAACAGTAATAAACAAATGGAAAGAGGCCAAATCAGGATTGCCGAAAAAGCGAGTTATTCGAAATCTAGCAGCTATGTCACCTTTTTATTAACAACATATCTATTAATAACTAAAACAAATTTTCTTTTCAAACTCACCAGAATTACTTAAAAACATTAATATCTTATGAAATACTGCACATTTGAGCTCAGAAATTATCTAATTTACTTCTTTTACTGAAAACAAAATTATCCGCTTGAAAATATCATCTCGCAGAATAAGCTGTAGTAAGCAGTTGCAAACTTTCTAACCGAAACTAGAGCAGATATGGAGCTCGAGATTGTTATTGTTTACATTTATATTGAAAACACCATCCATGGATGGTTGACTGAATGTAAACAATTCGCGATTTCAAGGAACTATAGGGGGCGTTGTTGTATTGTATGAGACGAATACCTGCGATTTCTACATGAACAGTCATTCAGTTACTCTAAGGCTACTATACTAATTCAGGGGCTCTAAGTTACTCTGGAGACGTCTTTAATGTAGCGCGTAGCATTGTAACGTCCCTCCTTTATTGTCGGGGGTGGAGTTATCAACCATGTCAACCGTCATCTATGAAAAGGTACCCCGACATAGAGTCGAGTTAACATGTCTTATATACTAGTGAATTGNAAATAAACAGAAAAAAATATGTATCTTCTTATAAGAGTTAAATTGTTGTTGTAGTTCATATACGTCACACTAGAGCTGCACAATGGGCTATTGGCGATGGTCTGGGAAACATCCCTGAGGATGATCCGAAGACATGCCATCACAATTTTGATCCTCTGCAGAGGGAATGGCATTCCCGCTTCGGTAGCCCGATGATCTGCACGCGAAGTCGAGCACTTTTACGGTAGAACAGTTTAACGAGGACCAATACCGCACACCCTCGGTCCCTACTCAAACTGATCCAAGTGGTCACCCACTCGCACACTGACCACAGCCAGTGATGCTTGGCTTCGGTGATCTGTTGGAAACCATGTCTTAACGATCAGTTCACTGCGGGACTATAAAAGTTAAAACCTAATGCCTGAGAAATAGTTTTACTAAACTTAATGATATAACATGAAAGGCATATTTAAACTTTACATTCCATAGTTTTAAGAATCATATTACTTCAAACATTAAAATAAGCAAAAAGTACACATGAGCCTCATAATTTAATATATTTAATTTTGTAAAAATAATTTTATGACAACATTTATCAAAAAATTTTAAGTTTAAAAAAAAATCATTATTTGGAAACTAAAAACGCAAAATAAAGAATGCTTACGGAACAAAACAAAAAAAAAATCTAAAAACTCCTCACATTAAAATAAAAAAAACTTTCATTTTTTTAAATTCATATTCGGACGTAGAAAACCATTCTATAGAAACTTATCATCAAATAATCCTGGACATCATCTTTTAGATTCCTTGTTGCCTTATTGTTTGCTGATTTTTGACGCAATTTTTTAGAGCTGCGAAAGTGAGTCTTTGGGATTTGCCAAAAACAGAACAAGATGCAATTTTATTTTTTCAGGAGCGAAATATTTTACCAAAAAAACGAAAATTTACCAATTCCCATGACATGAAACTTTATCTTGGTAAACGTACGTTTTGGAAATGTATTTTATTTGGACAGTACAGGTGAGAGAAAATAGAGATTGTTTTGAATCTATGTTAAACTCTATGTTGGCCCATTTTCTACCGACATCCGATTGACTACTTTGATTTTAAATAAAATGTTTTGAATTTTGAAAGTGTCTTGATTTTGAAAGTGTCTTGATTTTAAATAAAGTGTTTTATTTTATGATTTGTCGCAAAAATTTTAGGTGTAGAAGATTGGCGGCACTTAAAAAGTATCAATTATGTTGCTGCGGGGGCGTTATTACGTACGTATCGAATTTCTGTTCTATAACTTTCTGAATCATATTACTTCAAACATTAGCATATGCAAGAAGTTTACATAAACACGTCATGTTATACCATTTAAATCTTCAAAAAAGTATTTTGACAACAATTTTTATCAAAAAATTATAAACTGAAAAACGTAAAATGAAGAATTCTTAGGATACAAAATCGATTTTAAAAATTCCTCATATTGAAATAAAAAAACTTTCATATTATATCTTTTTTTATTCTTATAGTTCTTAATCAGACGTAAAAAACCCTTCTGTAGAGAACTAACATCAAATAAGAAAAAAAAATTATTTACAAGCAAATTTTCTATTATAAAAATTCTAACACTCACCTGCTTTATAAATTTGGAGAATTCCAAATCAAATGTTCTTCGATTGAAAATTTTATTTTCAAATAATTTATACATAGACTATTCCTTCATTACTTTTCGATAACATACCATACAGCAAAATTTTATAATTAGTTGAAATTATTCTTTCAAAACTAAAAAAAACTTACCAAAAAAATGATAAAAATTTATTAATAATCAGCACAAATGATACTATTTCAAATAATTCGGATGATTCTTTATTGCTGTTTTTCGAATTATATAGATAAAGAAATATATACTATTCTACAAAGAAGAAGAATTTTCTATAACTATTACAGGGCTGTACATTCTGAATTCACATTTATTCATTGGAATGAAGAAAGCAATGTTGACTTTATTTTAATTTGTAATGAACTGAAGGCAGAAAAATGTATTTTACCGTAATACTCACATCTGTAACAGTATGCGATTCCGAAATCAGAAGTTATCAGTTGCAAGTTTGTTGATAATAGAAGTTAAAAACTTTTGTGGAATTTTTCTTCAAACGTTTGGCGTGCTCTGTTTTTGAAAGATTTACCAATGTTCTGTAGAAATTTTTCAAGTTCTTCGGCCTTTTCCTTAGGGAAATTTTGCTTCTTATTTGCTGCTCAGAAAATAGCGTCTGATTCTGCCAATGATTCTGATGGAACTAAATGAAAACTTAATAAATAAATACCTTATATTTTCAGGCTCCCGCTAGAGGGCGTACTCAAGCGTTGCGATCGCGAATAACAAGCTTCTTAAAACCGGATAAAATTTGAAAAACTTCCGGTGTATTTCTCCCCCTATATTAGGCATGCGAAAGCGTGTGTGAGCCGGCTTAATGTTCTAGGAAGTTGTGATTAAATTTGCGCTTCATTTTACCTTTCATAAGAGTTTCCTGTAATTTACAAATTCAAACTAGTTTTGAGCCTAAAACAAATTTAATAAAATTAATATCATAACATAAATAAAGTGTAAGGTTTTCCACATTTTGAGTGTTATCCCTTATTTGGCTATATTTGTGTAAATTATCACCCTTTGATATTTTTTGGGTTGCATCATAGCATGCTTGTAAAGTCTTTCGAATTCATTTGTTGTTTGATTTGTTGAAATTAAAGTAGAAAGAATGATTTATTTTGTAAACACTATTAGTATAATAGTATTGGATGGCTCGCTTTTCCAAGTTTAGCCGTAAAAATCAAACGGAAATAGTAACCCGGAAAACTTACTACGAATTTTAACCTCTAGCGCCATCTGTGCTTAGTTTTACACTATCTACCATCCATTGCTCAACCAAGGTTAAACTGTTTCATACTGCATGCAAAAATAAATAAAATTAAAAAAAAAAAAATCGCGGAAGAAAGTTGGAGAATAGAACGAGAACGTGATTAGAGAGGTTTTCATGGGTAAATATATTTCCCAAATTAAATTCTCATTCGCACCTCCGAATTCACATCCACGAATTTTTCATATACAGTGCAAATGGTCCTTTAAAATAATTTTTAGAATTGTAGCACCAAGAGTTTGGGGGTTAAGTAAACCTTATTTCCCAATTTTCACTAAAATACTAGAGTGTTAATCCCATAATGTATCTAAAAATTGTGTAACAAAATACTCCTTGTTATCTGAATTTAAAAGTTTCTTCAAAAATTTAGAACAATGTTTAACGAAAATATAAATAAAGCTTTTATTTGTAAGATATTTAAGGTTACATGAACAAATAATAATAAATTATAAAAACTGTACAATATGCACAAGTAATGTATCAACAAAAAATGCATGAACTATGAAAACGATATAAATAGAGCAATATATCATCGTTTTACTTTCATTAAAAAAAGGTATATACTTACAAAGTAGTATGAATTTATTTTTAATTTTTTTGAAATAGGGTAAATAATATCTTTTTCAAAAACTAGTGTTTTTTCTGAGTGATATGAAATATAGAGAAACAAGTTTTTAGCAAAACTAAAAGTATTGAATTATACTTTCCGTTAAAAAGTCAGAAGTATTTCTATTAGGAAATGTACTTTTGTATGGAATAAAGATATCTCATGCAAATAGAAGCTCGAGCCACAGGTTGACTGAGATTTCACAGGTTTATAATTTTATCTGTGAAATGATTAGCAAATCAACAGCACTAATCTGATAAACTGCATTGTTTAAAAATATTCGTTGAATTTGCCCTCAAGAAATTATTTTTCCAAGAAAAAGTTTGCTGCAAGAAACTGCAACAACTTAGTATTTCTCCATTTTCGTCGCACTTTCTTCGTCTTTTGATTTCTTTTCTGTTTCATATTCCTCTGGGTTGTTGTAGATTTCTTCATAGTTAACCGTAGGAAGTCGAGCAAGCCACCTATAAATATTTTATAACACAATTTACCACAAATTTGAAATGTCGTATATTAGTTAATACATAATAATTTAATATCTATCAAATAATGTAAGATATTTCAAATTGCAATTTCAAAATTTTGAAATAAATGGATTTTCCTACTAATATTGAACAATATAGATATTTTTCTGCTTAGATATACATCTTATTGAAAGCTATAAACGTTTTTTTTTAAACTATAAATTTGATTGAACTATTTTTCATTAAACGATGTATCATTTTTAAGGCTAAAACAATTTACCAAAGTTATATCGAAATTTTATTCTTAATTCTATATGATGTCGATGCACTATAATAATTATGAATCGTGAACCATACTATCGTTCGAATTGGCTGCAACTTAAATATATAAACCATGTCTTAACGATCAGTTCANACTGAACGTTGCATATTTCTTTTTTTTCAATATTTTTGCAGCGAGAAAAATTAAAAGCCTCAAAAATTTTGATGATGTAATGTCAAGGTAGTACGATATATATACATATATATATATATAAATATAAAACTCTTTTTTTTTGTATTAGGTTCAGTTAGTTTAGGTTTTCTTAATCATTGAATATTGTGCACTTGGATTGCGTATAACTTTTATGGTTGACTTTGTAAAACTATGTAGACATTCTGTAAAATTTATTGCTATTTTACAAGCCTGATGTCACATGAGCTGTAAATATTGGGTCTATATGCCACAGGTGGTGCTTCGGCCGGGTGCCGAATCTGGGTTACCTTCTCGTGGATTATTATGACTTTGTATCTAAACTTTCCGAATATCACCTGAGGGGTGGGGTGAACTGATTGAAGATTTATTATTTGAGTTCTTGCATGGCATAGTGTTTTATGAGGAATTCCAACATTTGATTAAAAAAAATATGTCAACTAACATAAAAAAAAATAATAATAACCACAAATAAATGCGAACACAATTTTTAAAAAAGTATTTCACTTTTTTAGTGACGAAAAATTTTACTTACGCAAAGACACCCAATGGTATTATAAGTAAAATACCCATTATTAAGTATATTAATCCTGGATAAAAGTCCAAAGTAGCATTGAAAACTTGAGAAGCAACTGCTGTTGACAGGATTGGGATTAAGCTTTCCGCTGTTGTTAGAAATGCAAATATTTTACCTGAAACCAAGAAATATCTATGCATAAACTATTTTTGCAGTTGCAGCAGATTTTGAGCTATACATATTTTTCAACACAGAATTGCTGTAAGAAATACCAATTTAACATCGTTTTACAATATTAACCCCTTGTCACATGTATTGCTTTTTAGATAAAAAAAAAATTGATTCAATAGGTTTAACTATAATTTTAATAGGTTTATTCAGTTGCAAATAAGTGTGTAAACTGTTATAAAAATAGAAGTATGAGAACAGAGGATCATAAAAACATTCAATTTTCAACAAAAAAATACATTGACTTTTGATACACTGACTTTTTATGGTTTTATAGCAATATTTTGAGAGGTTGCCTTTTTGACGTTACCTACCTCACGTTCACTGTAAAACATTTCGGATCAAATTGCGTTATGAAGTACAGGTACTTTGGTATCATCATACAGGTACCATCATCCGTAAAAATTATTTAATCATAAAATAAATTTTTTCCATAAAATATTAAGCGTCATTTTTACAGCAAGATTTATTTAATTAGAGTGAATTATTGACTTTTCGGTAATTATTACTGTAATAATTATGGTTCGTTAGAATTTTTGCTGAGTAGCATGTTCCGATAAAATATGGATTTTAAGGTAAAAAGTAACGGCCCTCCTGAGCGCCGGTTCCTTTATCATAATTTGATCCAGAACTTTCTACAGTGTACGTTTCTATATAAATTTTTCTTAAATATTTTCTTTCCTTATTTATCTTTAGATTTAGAAATTTTTTTAAAACATGTTACATGTGTATGTTACATGTAGCATAAAAAGCTTCTATTAAACGTTTTATGTTATCCTAATTAATTATTCTAATCGAAATATTTTCTCACACTTTTAAAAGCCACATCCTGTTCTTAAATCTATTTTTGGCCCAAGTATGCATAAATTTAAATAAAGACATTTTTCCCTTTAAAGCTTCGTGGGTATCAATCAACCTAGTTCCTAAACCAATAGTAATTTCTGAGATTTCCCTCTTTTCCCTAAATAGAGACATTTTCGGATTTTTTGCAAGATTTTCCCTACCAGAAAGACTGATCGCTCATGGAGTGAACTACACACTTCTCGTTCACCACTCATCAAAGAATGACCTACTTTAGGGAATATCAATTGTTTGCTTATTTTCAATGCTGACACTGAAACTTAGTAGGTGTTGTTTATTGGTTTTTCGAATATTTTGTGCCAGAAGGTTCCTTTACGTTTTTGTTTTCTTTAAAGTATTTAACCTTAAACAAATCATTAGTGTTGCTGGGTATTCCGGGCAATGCAAGAGGCACTTCCCTTTGAAAAAAGCATCAGCTTTGTTATGTTTTCTGGGTGAATGTGTACTGGGCAGTAGCACTTAACCTTAAAAAAAATATTAGTATACGGTATATCGAACAGCAGCCCTTAACTTTTAAAATATATCAGTGTAGGCTATACCGGGTAAATCTGAACCAAGTAGCGGCACTTCACCTCAAAATCAGTGTTGGGTATACCGGGCTGTGGTATTTAACTTTAAAAAGAATATCAGTGTAGAACATACCGGTCTAGTGGAAATCGGGAACTGGTACGTAACTCTAAAAATATGTAGGGTATACCGGGTAAATGTCTATAGTGCGGCTTTCAGGAGAACTCCAGACACTCGTCTCGCGTCACGGCGTGGTTTCGAGGAAAGGTCACTTCGATAGTTTCGTCTTAATTTTAGCGTAGGTCGTCGTGAGTAAACCAATCGACACCTTCTTTCTTCCATTTTACCCCCATTAGAAATGTGCTCTAGCTTGTTACCATAGCAGCAGACAACCCCAGACTTTAAATCTGGAGGAGCTCTTCTCACAGCCACAACTTCTCACTATACCGGAGTATTTAACCGTAAAAAAACACCAGTGTAGGATAAATCGAACAATGGCACTCACTTTCCTTGATTAATCCAACTGTTAAATATTCTAAACAGTTATTATTAACGATTGCCACCTTATTATTTATCATTCATCAATACATATGATAATATGCAAAAGAAAAAAAAAAGAATTTTAAAGCTATTATTATAAATTAAAACGTAAGCAAAATCAGTTGGTTTAGTTAATAGTTTATTTCATCCTTGTTATTTGTTTATTGCCCTTTCTGTTTATTTCACTTTTTTACTAAAACAGTTAAGGGGTTTGATCAAATCACTTATTTTTTTAAGGGAAATGGCTACGCGGAGTTGTTATTTATAACCCCTTCCATGAATTGATTATTTGCCTTAGGGATTTAATCAAATTTCCGTATACATTATTTCCTTGCGTCACGTTTGAAATAGATTACTTAAATAATTATGCTTTTACGCGTTGATAGCTGTGCTCTTATTACTTTATTTCTTATTAACTTAATACGCAAATTAGTAAGTTATTTGGTTAACATTTGCGGCGTGATATACAATTTTTATAATTTTCAGGTTTTTCATGTTTTGTGATTTTTTTTAACAAAATTGAGAGAAAAAAAATTATACGATAAAGTATAAAATTAATAATGATTTAACAAAAAACACTCAAATTAACTTAAATATAAACTATAGAAATTTTTGTGGCAGAAGTCGAATTTTCGGCCATAGATGGCGCCACTGAAAAACAAGAACAATCGCACCCCCTCTGCCTAAACAGGCATACGACAAAAAAAAGAAAAGCTGAATCGAAGCCGACCGGTCTGTGTAGGAGGCAGGGAACTGTCCTTTGCATCAGAAAGGTCCGGAGTTCGAAACCCGGGCAAGGCATGGATGTTTCTTTCAATCTCTGTGTGTTCTATGTCCTTTCTCCTTTGTGTGTGAATGTGACCCGCCCTATAAACTGGTTGTGGTTGTGTGAATGGCGTGGCAGAAGTCGAATTCCTGGCCATAGATGGCGCCACTGAAAAACAGACATACGACAAAAAAAAATGTTTTAAAACTGCACTGCCCGTATGGTATTTTTTACAGCTAATAATTCGTGAACAATTATCGAATGTTTTTTCTTTTATTCCATCTTAATCCTTGAACACTTTTCTATGCACCTTAGTAATTTCAAGTTTCTACGTTTGATGGTTTTTGTGCAATAAAGCGAACGTTAAGGTCGGTGACCCAAAACATCGTTGGTAACCTTGGCATTTCTAATATAGAGAGATATTGTTAAAAAAACGCATTTTATTAATATTCGAATAATGACTTACCTATATCCTCTTTCGACGATACTTTGGATATTCTTGATCGACCAGCTAAGGAACTGAATCCAGATAATAATCCAGCCAAGTTAGCTTAATAGGAGAAAAAAAATCATTTTAAACTTAGAAGTTTTATAATTTTAGTTTAATTTAATTGAATTAATTTATTTTTAAATTAAATTGCCGGGTAACTGTAATATTTTGGGAAAGATGCCTTAATTGCTTCAAATGATGCTACCCAAGGCTTAGAAGTAATAAAACACTTAGAAACTCAAATTTTTAAATTTTGCTTAATTTCTCTAAGTCATAAGCTTGAGTCCAGAAAGCTTTTAGAATTAAATTTTTAAAGTCAGTTTGTATCATTGTTTGTTTAAAGTCTGATATAAATCTTCATCGATTGACTTTGAATTTAAACTGTCTATTTAAAATTATATAATTGTCTTCATAAAAGGAAATATCATTTTATAGCATATTTTTATGTATTTTTTCTATTATATTTTTTGTATATATTTATTTGTTAAATTTATTAAATTTTTTTAAATATTTATTCATTTGTTATATTTTTTCTATTTATATATNAAATATATTTTTCGAGACTTTGCTAGGTCCTACAATTCCTGATGCAGGTCTTTCTGCTGTATTAACCTATTTAAGTTAGCCTAACCTGTACACCTAAGTTAACAAATCTTCAGTGATATTTTACCGCCTCTCCTCTTTAACTTTAAATTAATTTCATCATCTCATTTATAATTTTTATAATATTTTTGGTATTATTATTATATGTTTGCTTCTACAACTTTTATTTAATTTTTTCACTTCTAACCATATCTTAAAGATATACTATTACTTAATCTAAATATGCCTTCAATTATTTATTTATTAATACTTTTCGGGGGTTTGTTTCATTCAGTGCCGTAGCGAGCTTAACTCGCGCCCGGGGCACAATACCTTTTTAGCGCCCCTCCCCCATTTGAAAACCATCTAATATTATAAGTAAAATATACTCGCAAAGTAATAAATAAATAAAGTCATAGGCTCAAGTTAGGCATTAAATTTGAGACAAAAAATGTAGTTGAAAAAACAAGACTAGATTTTGAAATGTATATGATCATCAAGAATTAGTTTATAAGATACCTATTATTTATTTTACATGTTTATAAAGAAATATTTTAAAAACACGCAGTTTTAAAACAATAAAAAAGTAAATATTTATTATCTCTAAGGAGATACATATATTTAATAATATGATTATAATACAATTATAAAACTAATTACTATGTATAAATTTTCCGCTTTTGATTCCGTTTTTGATCCGCTGAAGCAAATTTATCAATAATATCATCAAAGTTGATTATTTCAAATTTTTCGCTTTCCACACTTAAAAATGCTAGGTCACTTAGGCGATCTTGTCCCCCCGTTGATCGTAGATATGTCAAAATTAATTTTAATTTGCTGAATATTCGCAGCTAGCAATTGATACTGAGATAGTTAGGAGTATTTGAAGTGCCACTTTCAGGTTTGGAAAAACATCTCCTCCATACGGGATTATAAAAGTAAGAAATTCTAATGGAGTTTTAAGTTCAATTTCTTTTCTACTACGGAGTATCATTTTACAGTCACATTCTTCGATAAAGAGTTCTATTCCATTGAAATCTGTATTACACACTGTACAAACATACAAATACTTTGTACACTGCAAATATTTTGAGATAATATATGTAACCACACAGCGTAGATGCCATAAGGAAGTGCTGACAGACACAGGTCGAGTCAGCCCAGCCATTAGAAAAAAAAGTGTCATTTCTATTATGAATATATTATTACAGTTTGATTAGTGTTCCTTTTTATTTACGAATTAACATTTATTATATTTCACTGGCACTAAATTTAAAATATATTTTCCAGAAATAAATTATAATAAAAATAAAAATTATCCAGCAATTTTTTTTTGTTTGCATTTGGCGCCCCTTTGTGAGTAGCGCCCGGGGCATGATGCCCCCCTTGCTCCCCCCTCGCTACGCCACTGTCAGTGTATTTATCTTCTATAATTAACTGTTTTCTGGTGATTTTGTTTTGAGTTCTATATTTTTCTTTGCGAAATTTGGTATATAATTCTTACGATTTCCGTATAAATAATCGGAAAAAAAACTGCTTCATGAAATTTTGACTAGTTTGTACTAAAAATATTTACATAAATTACGAAATATTTTTCCTTTTTACTATAACTAAAAATATATATATATATTTTTAGTTAGCCGTATAGCCTTCAACGTATAGCCTTCAAAAATAAAATTTTAATCAAATTGAAACAGCCATTTTGTTTTGTATTACTGAGGAAGAATGGGATTTTACAGTTCACTTGTATTGCAAAAGACATTTTTTAAAATTTTAAATTGTTTACATTATTAGGGGGAAATTTTTTCCCAAAATAGCTTATTTTTTTCTTTCTTCCCAGGTCTTCTGTCTTCTAGATTGTCTTCCCGGAAATAATTGAAAATTTTAAGATTATTTATTTGGCATGAAATATAATTCTTTACTTACCACAAAAATAAATTTCTTTTGTACTCGCGAGACCCAAGCCAAGATTTTTCAAAACCATTGACGTGCTTCCAATTAAACCAAGAGTTGGATCTCCCAACTTGAGTTTTTTAAAAACTGGAACGCATACCATCATTATAACAATTCCAAGAATGGAGAAAATAGATGAAATCGTAGAATACTTCGTATTGTCCCAGTCATATTGATGATGAGCATACAAATAGCTGATACCAGCCGTCGCTGAAAAAAAAACAATGAGAAATTTTGCGAAATCAGTATATTAATATTCATGTGAATAGATTATTATTATTGATATTAGTATATTATTAGAATGAAACTTGATAGTTTTAGTCAGTATATTATTAGAATGAAACTTGATAGTTTCGCTATAATAACTATTTACGAAAATGAAAATTTTCTTGAAAAATAAAATGATGCAGAAATTTTAAAGTCCAATGTAAATTCTTGTTTACCAGCAAACAAAAGTATTTCATAACATGTCTTGTCTTTTATTAGCAACAAAGAGTCGAATTTCGAAAAGTTTGCATAAATTTGGCAAAATTAGGCAAACCTTCAAATTTGTCTAAATTGCATATCTTTTCCTAGAAAGGGGAAAGTTTTTATCAATGGGTTACTTTAAATGATTTTTAAAATCATAAAAATCCCTTAATTTTATAGTTTTGTACATGTAAACCTAATTATCACTCTTTCAAGGCAAACCAATTATAACTATACATATTTGAATACTGGTCTTACAATTCTGAATTATTAAATAAAAATTGGTAAAATTAAAATAAGAATCATTGGTTCAATTAAGGAAGATATGTATTTAACTAATCATTGGCATTTCACTGTACAGATCGAAAAATTTGCAAAATATTAGGATAGCTGGTTGGTAGGGCACTGAGCCCATGACCAAGAGTTCGTGGGTTCGATCCCCACTGGCCGAAGACTCCTCGTGTAATAAATGGTGACTGATGCACGTTAAATCTGTCGAGTCGTAAAGTCCTCCATGTTCCCATAACAAATCAATACCTCAGGGGTACTGATCCAGGAGTTTCCTTGTCTTCTGAATTGGTACAAAATTACAAGGCTACGGAGTTGAATATTGGTAGTCGTACACCCAAAATTGGGTCGGCTGCTCAACGACGGATATAAAAAATATAAAATAAAATATTAGGCTCGATATTATTTTTACGATTGGAGAGCTGTCCAGTCATAGCAAATCAAGCTGATATGTAAAAATTAACTAGCTTTTAATACATAATATATTCGTAATTTTGGTTTGAACGAAGTGTATAGAATAATTTTTGATATGGCTAAGCATTAATTTAATATACTTTTAAATATTATCAGCAAGAGAACACTATTAGCGTCTCAATGAAGCACTTGACAACAGAATTATTTATTTTTTGTACAAAACCTTTATTTAAATGAGAATGAACTCATGGCTATTTTTTAACTTTATAAAGTATACTAAATCGTGAATAGGTTTTCAATAACTGCAAAACAATGGGAAGGGCTCAACGAAGAGATGTACCAATGATAGCAATCTTCAGATATGAGGCATTACTCAATATACACTTGCACAGTATTCCCTATTTTTTAAGAAGGAAGAATTCTTCCGCATTTACAGAAATGTTTTTTTAAAGCACACAAACAAAAAAATTGTGTGTTAAGTGAATATCTCCTCATGCTTCACTTCGATCAACGTTAAATATTTACCAATTTCCTATGTAAAATTTGGTTCCTTGGAGTATTCATCCACTTTTCCTTCAAGGTTAATATCTTCCTTACCTGTACTATGCACGATTCTTTATCGCCTTGCGCGATCATCGTCAACAAAAACAATTATTTTTATTTTTTGAAATGCCGGATGCTATTTAGGCAAAGTATGAAATAATCGTCCTGATGAGGTTATTATGTAAATGATGTGCATGTAACTGGGAATGACCGAAATCGGTGGTTGTTGACTTTCACCGGTGAATGTTGACAATCAAATTAGTCGCTTTGGTGAATGTCCGAAATATTTATTACATCCGATTTGATATTAATTTATTCGTGGATATAATTACATCGATTCGATATTTTAATACTTACTGACGATAGATTACAAGAAACATCAGTGTTTGGAGTATCGGGCAAATATATACCGGGCAACTTAAAAAAAGCATCAGTGCAGGGTATACCGGGCAAATGTATACCAGGCAGTGGCACTTGACCTTAAAAAAACATCAGTGTATGGTATACCGGGCAAATGTATACCGGGTAGTGGCACTTGACATTAAAAAACACCAGTGTACGATATACCAGGCAAATGTATACCGGGCAATGGCACTTAACCAGACCTAGTATGACTAGACCTTTGGTAAATGTCCGAAATATATACTAGGTCTAGTGCCACTTTTACTATAGCTTAAATATTTAAAAAAAATTAAACAAAGCGTTTGAATAAATTTTAAAGTGATATCGAAGTTATTGCTTTAAAATTAAAAAAATAATAATAAAAACTGCGCCAGATAAGAGTAATTGAAGTAGTTGCTTTATACAGCGCATGTGCGGGAAAAAATTAAAAAAAAAATTATCTAGGTGCATCTAAAAGTAGATGAATATCTTAAGACGCCGTAAAAATTCCTATAGTAGCACACTATTATAAAGCACATCTGTGTATAAATAAATCTCTTCTCCTTAACTACAAAACGAACTACTCTACTTCAACTTCTACCTATATTTTCTAAAAGTATGATGTACTTCAATATGAAATCCGAAGCATCCGGAAAATATATTTAAAATGCAAATAATAATATTATAATAGTGCTAATTTCATAAGAAAATACAAAAAGATCAATGTACAANGGGCAGTGGCACTTAACCTTAAAAAACATCAGTGTAGGGTATACCGGGCAGTGGCACTTGACCTTAAAAAAACATCAGTGTAGGGTATACAGGGCAAATGTATGCCGGGAGTGGCACTTGACCTTAAAAAAACATCAGTGTAGGGTATACCGGGCAGTGGCACTTGACCTTAAAAGACACCAGTATGGGATATACCGGGCAAATCTATACCGGGCAATGGCACTTAACCAGACCTAGTATGACTAGACCTTTGGTAAATGTCCGAAATATATACTAGGTCTAGTACCACTTTTACTATAGCTTAAATATTTAAAAAAAATTAAACAAAGCGTTTGAATAAATTTTAAAGTGATATCGAAATTATTGCTTTAAAATTAAAAAAATAATAATAAAAACTGCGCCAGATAAGAGTAATTGAAGTAGTTGCTTTATGCAGCGCATGTGCGGAGAAAAATTTTAAAAAAATTATCTAGGTGCATCTAAAAGTGGATGAATATCCTAAGACACCGTAAAATTTCCAATAGTAGGTTCGTGCACATTATTATGAAGCACATCTGTGTATAAATAAATCTCTTCCCCTTAACTACAAACCGAACGACTCTACTTCAACTTCTACCTATATTTTCTAAAAGTATGATGTACTTCAATATGAAATCCGAAGCATCTAGCAAACATATTTAAAATGCAAATAATAATATTATAATAGTGCTAATTTCATAAGTAAATACAAAAAGATCAATGTACAACAAGAACCAGTGTTTTAACATAATAGTTAACGTTCCAACTAAATTTATAGTTTCTTTCTAAGAAGATTACTTTCTAACAAGATTACCTTCCTATAGAAATATATATATAAATGCATAATATTAATAACTTATGACAATGAAAAATACTCACAAACGTAACTTAACACTGCAAAACTCGTTGCAACCATCAGAGCTAGTATTTGTTCCCTTCCTTTATTCGGTCGTTTCTTATTAGTAGCTCTGAAGCTATCGATAATTTGTTGAGATGACCACAAGCTTCGTAGTTTCACTGACCAGCTATCTGTATTGTCCAATCCTCTTGTTTCTTTGATTACAAACATTACCCAAATCAACCCCAATACGTGACCACCTGTTGATATCATAAATACATACACATAGCCAGTATATTTGTAAAGGTAACCACCTAATAGGATGCCCAGCGGCATTGATAAACCGAACGATAGTTCCAGTAAAGCATATTTAATTGTCCTTTTACTGAATTTGGTCGTATCCGCAGCATAACTATATATGACAGTAAGCACAGTAATGAAACCTCCGGAACAGCCTGTAAATATGGCTGGTATGAAATAAAACTCAATCCTGCTGTAAAACAATCCAGCACAGATTGAGCTCCCTAAGCCATCCAAAATAATGCCAAGAAGAGCCATAATTATTGGTATTTTTCTGCCATATTTGTCACTCCAAGAGCCGATAAAACAAGCTAAAATTGAAGAAGGAACCAATTGTATCAGAGAATGTCCCACTGAGTAGTTGTTGGCCAGTTTTTCTACCACATTTTTAATATCTTTATGTTCAGCGAGATTTTTGCATATTTCTTCAGAATATCCTAAATGAACGATGCAAGCTTTGTCCATTATCATAGTAGTCGACGAAACGGATCGTAAAATGTAGGAAAACATGTAAAGAAACATGACAACTTCTATTTTCATGTAATTTACTTTAGCACACCATGATTGTGGTTCCTCGAGCGCGTCTTCCGACTTGGTATTCGTTTTTTCTGGAATTTTAGGGATTTCTGTCTCTGCTCCGGGCAGGCTGTCAGCGCGATGCAACTCAATAGTTTGCATATCTACGGAATCATCGATTTTCCCCATGTAATCAGGCATTTTGGCCAAAAATTTTATTAGAATCAGTGGCAATCAATGAGAAGGATGCTATTATGATTTGATGAACTTTACTGCAATGATTGTAATTTTTCCATGATTTAAACCTAGAATAAAAATAACAGGGAGTTAGTTGTATTATCAATTATTGTTAGTTATTACTTGTATTAACAATTGTAGTTAGCATTTAATATAAATGTTAAAAACAATGAAAAATTCATAAAAATTAATATAGCTTTTATATCCTTTAATACTTTGAAAGGGGTTCTTTTTAAATGTGTTCTATATCTTTGATAATTGAATTGAAAAGGACGACATTTCAATATTTTTTTCACAGAGTAAAATTAAACTCAGTTATCTCGACTTTTATTTTTTCGCACCTTTTTTCTGCCCTTTAAAATGCATGCGTCTGGGATTTAATTTTTCACCTAATGTTTCAATTAATTAACTTATCGATAGTTATAATACTTTTTTTGTTGGTTTTTAAATTGTTTTGATCATGACCGTATTTCACAATTGTCTCTAGGATGATTCAGATACTTAAAAGCAAAATAATAAATTTTTTACTTTTCAAAAACTTATAATTTTTTAAACTTTTAATCAATAGTAAATTTTCTACTTTATAATTTTATCAATAGTTTTTGTATGAATTTGGGAAGTTGGCTAAATTTTCTTTGTTCCATTCAGAAGACAGTAAAATAGTTTTTTCATTCATGTAGTAATTTTAGATTTTTTTTCTTTCTAAAGAAATCACCGATGAACAGACGCGAATACTATTAAAAGGTTTGGCAGGTTTTCATACAGGTGTGATAATTATTTGTAATGGCATCATAAATTCGTGGAGCAGTTTTTTTCTCTCTCTGAATAAAATAATTAGTTGAATTCAAGTTTGGATTTAGGGTGGTTTTGTAGAGAAAGATGAGGTTTTTTTTAATTTATTTATAAATAAATATTTTTTAAGAAATAATTCGTCAAATTATTATTAATTTTCTTTTTCTTTTAGGGGACATGCAATTTAAAAATAAAAAAGAATAGATTAAAACTTAATTGAAAAATACAGTCTTTTACTTAAATTACTTCAAATATTTTAAAATTAAATATTTTTCTGTATTTCGTGGGTGGCAATAAACTTTGAGGGCGAAAGTTTATCGCCACCACACATATTATCAATTCATTATCGCACTGTTATCTACAGTTATGCGCATTTCACAGTTTTACCTTCATTCTTAGTCACTATAGATAATATAAGATCCAAAAAACATTTTTTTCAATCACGATTGTTTGTGTTTAGTCTTTTTGTAAGCTGTTTACTTTTTTCTTCATAAAAATATTTATATACAGATAATTTATAAGATTTTTTTTAAATCTTGATGCTTAGTCTTTGTGTAGGCAATTTATTTTTTATTTCATTAATTCTATTTGTATAGATAAACTATGAAATATGTCTTTTTCATTTATTGATGTTTAGTCTTTTTGTAAGCTGTTAAGTTATTATGCATTAAAAAATTTGTAAAAAATGCTAAGACTAAAAAAGACAAGAAAATTTGAGTTAATTTTTTACTCATTTTTTCGAGCGCCATTTGGTGTGTTTTTCCAGTGTGTTATTTTGACATTGATCTATGCACTTGAGAAACACGGATAGCGGCTATGGAAATTATAAATTAATTACCTTTCAAGTAGCAGATATTGCTATTAGTATAATTATTATTAACTTTCTAAGTTACAGAAACAATTTTAAATTTTAACATACATAACATGAGATACAATTGTTGTTGTTCTTTATCCTCCAATTGTCTGACGGAGTCAGACAAGATCCAATAGGTTGTTGACCCTCAAAGATACAGTAAGGAGTGTAAGCTCATATATTGTAGATTAAGAATGGCAACAACGGTTATGTTTAGTTTCTTTTGTGATATAAAAAAATAATAGAACTTCGATATGAAATGTACGCGAATGTAGTAAGTTACGAGTGCACTTATATTATCAATAAATATTGTTTTTATTTTCTATAAAGAATTTATTATTGTTAAATTAACTACATGAGAAGTCAACAAAATCAGATGTGGGATTCATTTGAAATGTTTTACACCGTCTGAAAGCTTACAAAATGGCTATATTCATTAATGGAAGAAAATGCGATTTAAAAATATTAGCAGAAGAATCGGGTGAAGATGTTATTGATACACATAAAATTAGCGATTTATAGAGGATAATTTTGGCGAGAAAAGAATATGATGAAGATTGTGTCTAAGAATTGTGGAAAACTATAATAAATGAAAGAAAGGAAAAGGAAGGAGAACGTAGACACCTAGAAGAAATTAAAGGAAGCAGATGCCTAGAAGAAATTGAAGAACGCAAACGACAAGACGAGGTAAGAAAAATTGAAATGGAATTTGAATTACAGAAATTACGCATTAAATCAGAGAATAGGTCTACTAATTCTGTCGCTAATTAGCATATTAATAGTACACCATTAAAATCAAGATTAGAACTTCATCACTTGATTCAAAAATTTAACCCTGATGAAAATAATATCAGCTTATACTTGACCTCGTCAAATTATTAGACACACTAAAAGATTCTATGTAAAATCTTAATTATCAGGTGATACTATACAGCATTATTGTTCTTATACAGCTGAAACCGGTTTGCGCTTGTTTATGTTCGAGTATCAGTTGCTTAAAATTGCAATGCAATACGTTAAAAATAAATACAAATAGGAAGTATATAAAAAATCTTCAAATAAAACCCCATTACATGTATGTTTAAATATAAAAGTATTGTATATAAACTCGTGCAAAACATGCAATTATTAAACACTACAGTGCGTCTGATAATTTGGTCTAATTTTTATAATATACTAATATAATATCTGGTATAATAAATATTCTATAATTGTATAATATATCGTATAATTTATCTAATCGTCAAATTTTTACTATACATCGTCTAATTTATCAAATTGATACACGAATGCAAACCGATTTCAGTCACGTAAAAACAATAAAGCTGTATAGTATCACCTGATAATTAAGATTTTACGTAGAATCTTTTAGTGTGTCTAATAATTTGGAAAGGGACTACTGTATTTAATTACGTTTGAACGTTTGGCTAAACAGGCAGATATAATTGAAAATTCCTGGGTTACTCACTTGCTTGGCTTGCTTCTTTCCGACGTAGCTCAAATAATCGACAGAGGAACAGAAGAAATTGCAAACGATTATAAAGAAGTTACGCATATTTTTATTAAAGCGATATAAATTAACACTTGAAAAATGTCGCCAAAAGTTTTTAATGCGTAATAAAAATGTAGGAAGTACATGGAAAAAGTTTGCCTACGAATTAAAAAGTTTTTTTAAGTTTTGAAAAGTTGAGAGATCTTATTATAGCGGATCAGATAAAACGTTAAGTATCGCAAGAAGTAAAAGATCATTTTATTGATGGTTGGATTTGGTTCATTAATCCAGATGATTTAGTAGAAAAACTGAATGATTATGATATTTTGAGATCAACTTTTAAGAATAAACAACTGCGTAAGGAAGGATTTTTCGACAAACGAAACTCTATTAAAGATGATACAATTGCTAAGAAAAATGAAAAGAGAAAATTGTACCGTATTACACATAATGAAAGAGGTGAACCAAAATGCTTCAACTATAACAATTTTGGCCATATTTCTAAGGACTGTCCGTCGCCAAAACCAGTTATAATATGTCGAAAATGCAATAAAACAGGTCACAAAGTCAAGAATTGCTTTTCTAAAGCTGAAAGTAGTTGGTCAAGTTATAAAAGTTTATCTGTTACGCAAGGAGAAAATACCGAAGAGAGTACTTCATACTTGAAAAAGGCAAAACTTAATTATCGTGACGAAGTACAGGTTTCAATTGACACCGGCAGTTCTTGTTGTCTTCCAAAGATGCCAGTTGCTTAGAAACTTGAACCTGCTGCCGATGAATTGTATGGTTTTGGGAATCAAAAGATTCCTGCAATAATCACTACTGCAAAAATTGAAGATGATGTTAAAGTCGATAACGTAAAACGCAAAGGAATGTGTATTTATGTTGTTCTTGATAATGCGCAGATAGTTGATCTAATTATCGCCCGAACATGGATTGATCTACCGTACATCGCTTATGCCAGAATAGGGAAAAGATTTCATATCGGGAGAAAGAACCATTTAATAATTTCTTAATTAAGGAAAAAGTAAAACGAATCCGCCTTAACGTTCTTGAGGCAACTGAATCACAGAAATATAAAATCAATCTTATTTGATCTCAAGCAATGGATATCGAGAATGGGCTAATTATGATGGAGAATCCTTTCGAAGACATTGGTTGATTACTGGAGGTTTAAAATGGAAAAACGTGCATTCCTTTGGAAAATATTGGACACAAAAATGTCGGGCTTTTCGGAGGTCAATGATTGTTGGAAGTTATTGAATTGTTCTCAATCGTTGAAGTTAAGGACCTTACTCAATAACCAATTTCTTAAGGGATGAAAATTACTGAAAACGTATGCTCTCTATCCAGTTAAACTTATTTTTACCGCAATAGATTACACATATGATTAAATGGTAAAACAATTCTGGTGGCACCAATGTGAATAGGCTATTTAGATAGCAAAAAACTACAAGTATTTTTATTTGTAAAACTGATAAGTTCATCGAGTTGTAATAATTTAAATGAAAAAAACTCCCATTAAATTGAGCGAAATGAAAATTGACTCTAATATTGATAATGAACAGAAGCAAGAATTGCTCCAACTATTGAATGAATATAGAGATTGTTTTGCTATGACATTTCAGAGCTAGGATGTACAAACTTAACAGAAAGGGATATTAGAGAAGTTCAAGGGTCAAAGCCCATTTGTATGGAACCATATAAAACGAATACTCCTGAAGGAACAGCTATTTAAGAAATTGTGGGTGAAGGGAAAGAAAATGGAATGGTGTCCGAAACAAGATCACCCTATGCAAGTCCTGCCATATTAGTAAAGAAGAAGACTGGTGAGAGTCGACTTGTGGTTGACCACAGACGTTTTAAGAGTCAAACTATGAGAGATAAGTTCCCATTGCTTAAAAGTGATGATTTATTGGAACAATTACGTGACTGCAGTTATTTTACAACCTTAGACTTGGAGCATGGTTATCTACAAATACCCCTAACTGAAAAAGCAAAACTAAAAACAGCCTTTATAACCCCAGATGAAACTGGAGAGTTCGAGAGGATGATTTTTGGCTTAACTAATGCCCCAGCAGAATTTCAACGATTGATGTACCATGCATTAGGTCCGTTGTACAACAATAGTGTATTATGTTATTTGGATGACACACTTGTAACAGCAAAAACGTGGGGAACACTAAATACGGTAGTTAACTGAAGTATTTAAAGCATTACTCTCCGCAAATTTACCTGAAAAACAACCTTGAAATTACCTAAATGTGAGTTTGGAAAGAAAGAAGTGAAGTATCCAGGATTTATTACAATTAAAAACGGAATTAAGCCTGGATCAAGAAAAGTAGAATCTTTATCTAAGTTTTACCAACTTAAAAATGCATACGATGTTAAACGATTTCTTGGATTAGCAAGTTTCTTTAGAAGATTCATTCCAAACTATACCATTGAAGCTCGATATTTAAAGCAGCTGACGAAAAATAATGAAATTTTCAAATGGGAAAAAGACCAAATGGGAAAAGTACAAAACTGAAAAATAAATTTCACAGAATATATGGTTTTTACGCCATGATCCAAGGTATCATTATAAAGTTATTAAATTTTATCACGTTTACCAAAATGTATCACTTACTATAAAAACATTTTTTATGCTTAATTTTAATAAAATCATTGCTAAAGCTCTTTGATAAAAACTACCGATCATTTTGTTGTACATATAGAGACAGAAACATCATAAATTTTTTCCATATTCTGGTAGTTTTGACCATACTTTTTTCTCAGTGTGGTTAGTTTTTATGCAATTAAATTTATTTTAAATAAATTTTGAAATACTACACCCGAAATATGATGCAACGGGAAAGCTAATACTGTGCTCAAAGGGAAGTATATTATTACAAATGAAAAAGGCAGGCGATATAAGCTTTCAATCAAAACAATGGCTTTTCTAAATATTCCGTCTTTTCAAGGATTTTTCTACAATAGTTTTGTTTGTCTTAGAATTTCATAAGATTTGAAGCAGTATTGCGTAAGTCAATAAGACAAAAATAGTTTCTTTCTTTGTGTTCTTCGTTTAATGCTTACTCCTTGATTTAATAGTAGAAGAGTATTTCGTGGAAAAAGGTGCCTATCCTTATTATCCTCTGTAATTGATGAACTTTGAATTTTTCACGCAAATATTTTCATTTTCTCCTAAGTAAGCCAAATTTACTGAAATAGAAAAGGCAAGTCAGCTTATTTTTATTTTTTAATAATATTTATGTTTTGTAGGGAATAAATTCTTAATTACATACAAGTTTGCTAAACGATAACGCTTACCAAAAAAAAATCTTCGTGGTGGATATTAGAAATCTAGTTCAATGTCAAGTTGCTTGTTATGGATACGTTTGTGAATTTGGGCAACTTAGCAATAACGTTTTTTTAGTGAATAACATGATAATTTTTTTAACTGTTGTGAGTTTATAACAGCTATTCATAACTGTTAGGTTAAGTTTCCTCTCTTTACCCAGAGCTCTGTGTGTAAATTATAAAAAACAGTGCCAAATGTAAATATGAAGAAAATCTATGGAAAATTTAAAAGCGTTTTTCATACACTGACTGAAATATGTCAAATAGTTCTTCAGTTATTTAATTTTAAAAAAAAATTACTTTCAAAATTTGATTTTCTAGAACTATTTGACTTATTTCCTTCAAATTTTGTGTTTTGCAAATTAAAACTACATTCTAAAGAATGATGTAAAGATTTGTATATTTTTCACTTCAAAATATTTTTGACTATTTTCGATAATTAGTAAATAGTTAATTTAAGGAAAATAATATTTAAATTAAATTAATCCAAAATATAATATTAAATAACATTATATTGATTAATATTATAACATAAATTAACATTATAATATTAAATAACATATTATATAACATTATAATATTAAATAATTTTCAAATTGCGCCTCTCCCCTATGATGTAAGGGTCAAGAATCCAAATCTGCTGAAAAAAAAGGTAGCATTATTCAAATAAATTATGTTTTTGTGTCTGATTTTGTAATTATAAAATCCCATCACTAGATTAAAAATTATTCAAGGAGTATCCATTTTTTGCGCACTTTTTATATTTTTAAATTATAACTTTGCAATGATTTTAAGGATCTCAAACTGGTCTTTTAAAGTATGAAACGGACTTTGGAATGTGGAGCAAAAAGGAACATTTAATCATTACATAATTTTTATTTACCTCCTTTCTATTTATCTCCTCTCATTTTATTTATCTCCTCTTTTTTTAGATTAATTCTGATGCAGGATGAACTAAAAATGTCCAAACTTTTTTTAAGCATTTTAAATCCTTTGGCAACATGTAAGAGTTATTACTTGAACGTTTTTCAAATACTTAAATATATTTAATAAATTTTGTAATAGTTGTTGCGCATGGCGCATAATAGAAATAATAATAATTCTGCTAATAAAATCAAAATTTACGGTATTTAAACCATTCCTTTGGGAATTTTTCCATTCATATGGTAACGGTTTACCGAAAATTCTGATTTTAAAAATTATCGTTCTTATTACTACACATTTCGTATCCAATACAAAACTGAAAAGTAATTTTAACCGAATAAATGGTTTTTATACCATGATCAATTTTCACACCACATTTACCAAATTATAACACATATTGTAAAGTAATATTTTTTTGTCAATTTACCAAAACGTTTCGGTGAAACTTACCGAGCTTTTTGGTATTCCTATAGAGCCAAAAACACAGTAAATTTTACCATTATCTGATACTTTTTTTTATTAGGGTAGAAATATGAACATTTCGGCTAAGGTTACTTTAAAGAAAAATATTTGTGAATTTATTATGGATTTTTATTTACTTAATGTATATATTTGTCCTTTTAATAACTAGATGTTAAATGGATATTTGCTAGATTTTAAGATGGTTCGAAAATGTTTAATTAATTCCAAAAATAATTCATAAATTATCAAACTAGCTTTTCTAATGGAAGTTTTAGTACATAAGTTATGTAGCTAGTGATAATTTTATTAACGTTTTTAAACAAAAAATTAAAGAAACATTTCTCATCTGTTTAAGTTGCATAATTTTATTATTTGGATGCGATGCAATCAGAAAGTATTTCTATGTGTTTTTATTTATTTTAGTTATGTGAATTTTTATTTATTATATTTATCGTACTTTCGGTTATGGTTACAATTTAATTATCTATGATATTTGATTGCTTTTTTGGTTAGCTGATATAGAATCACATTATTGTGGGGAGTTGACAATTGTTTTGATCAATATCAAAGTCATGAAGCAGATTGAGTTTTTATCGTGTTTTACTTATCTTTAGTTAAATAATGTTACAAAAGAAATATATTAAATGAAATGCGTATCTATTATTTTCTGATTATCATTGATATATATCTAATTATTTTCTATTGGAACAAAGTTTATTGCATACGTCATTGAAAGTAAGAAAGAGGAGCAATAGAAATATCATATAAATTTAATAATAATTTTTTGTTACATTTTTATTACAATTTTGATAACCTAGAGAAAGCTTTCATAAACATTGTCTTGCAAAGCCATTATTAAATTTATATTTTTTGATCAAAAATATGGGAAAAAACTAATTCGAAAATAGATTTAATTGATAAATAAATTTAAAGACAATAATCATGACGCTTTTTGCTAGCTCTAGTTATTTTTGCAATTGGTGATGTCACATAAGTTTACATTGTATTTCACTGTTGATTTATTAATTTAATAATTTGTTTCACTTCCATTACAAAAGTTTTTAAGGAGTTTTTTTTTTCAAATTTAAAGTTGCTTTAGTGAAGAATTTTGTTAATGTATCTCATTGTTTAAGCGCATTAAATTATAAATTAAAAACACTTATGTAAGTAACAGTTCAGATGGTTGGTAAATTAATAGTTTACATCAAATTCATTAAAACTTGATTAGTTATGAACATAAAGTGTAAATGCTAAATTAAAATTCAAATGATTTATTTTCACTTAAACACTAAAATTTTTCAGTTTTAAAAATGCAATTTCGTAAGCAAATACTATAAAGCTGTTGCTTAAACAAGTTTGTTAAGTGTTTTATTTAATCTCAACGCGTTTACTCAAAGTTAAACGAGTAACTGTGGTAAATTTAAGTTAGTTTTCAAAAAGCTTAAATAAAGTTTCGGTGAATATATTTATTTGAAACTTTTCCAGTTATTATTTAAACTTTATGAGTAATAAAATTAGAACAAGTGTAAATATTGTCTTATTATTTTTTAAATTTCTAGATAATCATTGTTTCTTACATCAAATTAATCTTTAATTTTTTCGTGACGTTACAGAAACGTTATGAAACAAATGTTTTATCTTTAACGTTCTTTAATAAGTAATAATAAATACTGTTTCAAGTATTTCGTATTAATCAATAAAAGACTGTTAATGACAATTCAAAGTTGTCCAATTTTAATGAATCAATTCAAGTATTAAAATTTAAAGTTAATGAATTTAATGAATAATTTTAAATCTACATTAAATCTTAAATTGAATTAAATTAATGAATAAATGAATTAATGAATTATATGAATATTTCGATTAAATTTTATAAAGAATAAATATGAAGCTCATTTGCACTTTTAAAGAAATTAAGAATCAAGTTAAATGAAAAGATTAAACATAAGTATAGTTCTATTTACCTGAAATGATCATGTTATGATTGTGTAATAGTTAATAGATGGGTGTTTAATAGTTGATACTTTCCATGAAAAGAAGCGATCTCTCAAAACCAAAACACCGCAAGATTGTAGAGTTAGATAAACTCTCTTTTGCCAGCAGCACCGATTATTATTCTAGTAAGATAAGGAACTTTCGTCATTACCGAAATGATTTATCAAATGAATAGTGACTGTTGTGTTTTCATTTGTCAAAAATTTTCATTTTTCTCCACAAGAGTTGCAGTTCTTAATAAATGCTTGCTAACAAAGAGGAAATTTAAATCCCATTGTGGAAGCAATAAAGATAATTTTTTACATAACTTTTACGTTTTATTCTATTTTTCTTTTTCAGATTCAAATAAATATTTGGAAAATATGCGAATGATTTGAAAACAAAAGCAAAAAAGAATGCTTAAACAAAAAAAAAAAGTGATAATATCTAAATGATAAGTAAATTTAAAATTACTATAATCCGGTTTGATGACAAATAATGTCTTTTTTTTCTGACGCATGAAAATGTCACACTGTAACAAAATCCGGATCAAATTCCGGTAAAAAGAACCTGCTGTCAGGCTGCCGTTACTTTTTATCACAAAATCTTTCTTTACCGGAACATGTTACAGAACAAAAAATCTGATATACCATAATTTTTATAGTAATAATTACCGCAAAATTAGTGAAAAACTCTAATTAAATAAATATTACTGCAAAAATTACGGTAAAAATAGATTTTACAGATGATACATCCAATACTTTATACTGGTAATTATTTCTTTGAAGTGTAAAAGAAATAGGGTTATATTGATTACATACATTGATTACACACATTGATTATTACATACCTTGATTCTATAGTTAAATATACTAGATTAATGCATTTTATCTTTTAAAAGAAGATTTGCGCGCATCTATCTGTGTATCTCTCTTATAACTGCTAGCTCCTTGAAATTTGAACAGCCAGTGCAAGGGGCAACTTTAGCTCCTGATTTAAAAAAAAAAGTGCCAAAAAATTTAAATTAATTCCTTTGGGTGGGGTGCTTGAAAAGTAAATAAAATGCATAAGTTTGCAATAGGTATTGTTACAAACTAAAATACTAACGCCTTTTCTTTTCAGTCATGTATTGAAAAGATAATAACAGTGATGTTTACTGAGTTAGCAAACATCACTGTTATTATCTATTATTCAACTCTGTTTAATAAGAAAAAAAGTTTTTAGCACTTTGTATAATAATAAATTCTTCTTCTTTCGTTATGTCATGTAAACTCAAGGATCAACGTGGATGGATAAGACCGATATTGATTGTAACCGTCTGCCTATAGGCTTGCTCATTATTTAAATTTAATATGTTGTAACATCTCAAACTCTAGTGGTCAAGGAGCTCACAATCACTATATATTTATAAGAATAAAAAAAACTCGTATATCATATTAAATTTCGACATAACGTAAAGCGTTCTATTTACCTTGTATCCAAAACAAATCTTAAGTGATATTTTAATGCTGTGAAAAGCGGTGTTTCTGCTGTATGTTTGGGTTATCTTTTTATGAAAAAAAATCTGCCATGCGTTTTGTTTGTACAAAGGCACTGTAAAACCACGTCAAAATTAATTAAAAATTGAAATGTTCAGCATTTCCAAAGCATTAGCTAGATTATATTACCATTAGACATTAACCACTACAAGCAGTTCAAACTATATTTTGATGGTGTGAAGAGCGTCATTGCGCCTTTGAAATTATGGTATAAAAATAATTACGTATAATTACGTATTACTCCGCCGACAATTTTTACCAAATCTAAAAATAAAATAGCAATATGTTGTATTTGTATTTTGTCAATTTTTTTAATCAATTACTATTTTAAAATAATTTTGAAAGATACAAAAATGACTCTGGTGGATTGCTGGAGAAAATGTTTGACGGGATAGTACGTACATACCGAAATTATTTAATACAATACAATATTTATTTTTAAACAAAACAATACTTCTGCTTCAAATTCCCTTTATTACTTTAAATGTTTTCATGGATTGTATTATTATAATAGGAAAACAAAGCATGCGCAAGTAATTATTAAGAACATCTCTATCTTATGAAAATATTAATAATTAATATTTAAAATCACTCTGTGCCTTTTGATAGCTAAATTGAAAAACATTTTTAGTTTTTAAACATAATCATACTTTACATATTAAAAAAATGTTTTATTTCATAATTAGATTTGTTTAGATATAACCAAAAGAATTGACTAAATATATCAAACTGTTTTAATCATTGTTTACGTAGAGAATGAATTGTAATCAACCCAAAAGAAGTAACTTCGTTTTCCTGAGAGTTCAATGTAGAATAATGAGCTTGATTCGTAGCAGTTAAGTTACTGATTTAGATCAGCCATGGTGAGGGTTAGGTTACCAAATTAACATTTTTGAAGTATCTGAAAACATGTTTTGTTTATAGTCGCACATTTAAAACGCCCTTCTGTATCTGAATAATTTATGGACAGAAAAAAAAATTCTGGTAAAATTACCTTACTGTGGAGTAATTAAATTTCTGAAAAAAAATAATAATTCTGGTATTAAAAACTATAATACATGGTATTAAAACATTTCATTTAAAAATTTTTTCGTTCATATGATTTACCAGTTTGCTGAAATTTTGATTTTAGAAAGTATTGTTCTGATTACTGCACATTTAGTAAATAATACGAAACTGAAAAGTAAATTTAACCAAATAAATGATTTTTATGCCATGCTTTAAGGTATCCTAATAAATTTATCAAATTTTATTATATTTGCAAAATTGTATCGCATGTTAGAAAATCATATTTTATTGTTAATTTTACCAAAATTATTACCAAAGTATTTCGGTAAAAACTACCGACTTTTTTGGTGTTCTCATACAGCCAGAAACACGATAAATGTTACCATATTCTGGTAATTTCGATCACACTTTTTTTCTCACTGTAAGAACAATGGCAATTAAAATAAAATTTAATAATGTACTAAAGATCCAAGCTAATGGAAAAAATTCATAACTGTTCACCTGTCTCAAATGTGGAACATTTTGACTGTCATTAGCTAGTTACTGTTAATAAAATCATTTTTGGTGTGGAATGATACTTAAACTTTATTTTGATGAGTTGAACTTCAAAAAGCATGTTTTGCTTAATCTAATTTCGTAATGTGTTCGGAAAGGGCAACAAATAACAATAATATTAATAATAATTATTGAAATTATTTTAGTTTCTATAATTGTTTTTCACAAGTCATAGTTCCTTACTGGTTTCTGTGCAGTCTGAGCTCACTTTTCTCGCACATTGGTTACACATATATTTTAATCTCACTTTTTATGAGTGGTGGTACCTTTTTTGAAAGGAATTTTTAAAAATAAGTGGCATAAACATCCCTTGAAATATTTGATGCTATTTCACTTTTGTGGATCATAAATAACTATTACCACATAATCTATATCAGTAATAGATATACCTATATAAGTAAATACATTAAGTACCTATTACACCACAATATTAGTATTAACTATAACAGCAACTAATTCAGTATCACTGGCTTCAATAATAGTTCACGACCTCTAAATCTGGTCTGAATCTGGATTATTTTTGAAATCGGGAGGCAATCAGAAAATTTTTTCTTAAAAAACTAAATATTCAAATTACCACTAATAAAAATGTCATCTGCAGTCGGAATTCTTGTGTATAATACATAAAGCAGCAATGCCTTTTTGATTTGAAACATAAAATTAAAAACAAAGCATTAACTTGAATGTTATTATTATTCTGAATTTATTATTATTATTATTGTGAACATTAACTTAAATGTTTTATGTGTATTATATTCCCTTCTGTTACTATTGTTTAAAAAATGTTTAAATAAAATAAAAAAGTTATCGGAAACAATAAACATTGCATCTTTAGCACATACAATGTTGTTACCAACTGGTGGTGTCAATTATTTTTTATGCTCTGTTTATCAAAAGATAAAAATATTTACCCTCTTTTACTAATCGTGGAAAAATTGTGAGTTTATTATTAAATCTATTCTGGGAAAAAAGTATAGTCAAAACTACTAGAATATGGTCAAATGTACTTTTTCTGGCGCTATAGGAACACCCAAAAATAAAGTAATTTTTACCGAAGAGCTTGGTAATGATTATTGGGTAAACTGAACGATAAAATGTGATTTTTATTACTATGCTGTCTGGTAGTAAATGCGGTAAAATTAGGTAATTTTAAGCAATAGTCGGATATTTTAACAGTGCTTGTATAATTTGAGATGCCGTAAAAAATGTTCATTTTGATAACCTCCATTTTATTTCGCAAACGTCCCGCAGTGATCAAAAATCACTGGCTGCTCTTAGTAAGTGAGTGGGCTGATCACTTTAATCAGCCTGCGTAGGGACCGAGGGTGTGCGGTATAGGTTCTCGTTAAACTGTGTTGGCGTAAAGTGCTCAAATTCGAGGTCAGGTCGCCGGGATACCAAAAAAAAGTGGAGTCATCCCCTCTGCAGAGGATCAAAATTTGTGATGTCAAGTCTCCTGATCATCCTCAGGGAAGTTTCCTAAACAGTTGCCAGCGGCTCAAATGCGACGTAAATAAAGTACCTACCTGCTTACCTTATTTAGCAAACACTTGCTAATTTTATTTCTCGTCGGCTAATTTTTTTTCTATGTAAGTTGTAAGTTAACAACTATCAGCATCTAAATTTGCAAAAAAAATATGCAATGGCAAATGCACAAATACAAGAGTGAACTAAATAAATAGCTTAACTGTTACTTTATAAATACTACATCAGGTTGAATTAAATTGCAACATCAGGGCTGTACCAACATCCTAAAATGGAATTTTAGTTGCAGCAGGTTCAACTCCTACCTTAATCCTATTTATTTAATTAATGTTTCGCAAACAAACGTAGGCTTGCGTGCTCATTAGACAGCTCAGCTAATGTGTCCTTGTCAAGTCGATACACAGATAGCACAAGACAGAGGAAGAAAGTACAAATATCAAGCCTGGGTCATGGTGGGATTTGAACCAGCTACTTTCACGTTGTTATAGGTGCATCTTTGTAATGTTTTTGTCTAATTTCAATAATTTTTTTAAATAATTTTTTTTAATGAATAGGCTTATAAAAGATGTTTTGTAATGATCACACAAGCCTTAATATGTATGTATAACAATAAATAATAAAAAAAAACTTGGAATAGTTTG